AAAAAAAAGGTGCCCCTGAGGCCTGGTTAGTGTCTGTTGTTAGCATCAAGTTGCCACATACAAGCATAGTTGTATTGTAGACCCTAGAAGGAGAGTATATATATATATGTGTGTGTGTGTGTGTTTATATATGTTTACATATATATATATATACCTAAAACAATATTTATTCTGGAAATACTGAATGATATTCACTCTAGTCAAACATTAGTAGGAATATGATAATATCTATCTATCTATCTATCTATCTATAGCTATATATACATAAATATTGTTTTAGGAATATATATATATATATGTTTACATATATATATATATTCCTAAAACAATATTTATTCTGGAAATACTGAATGATATTCACTCTAGTCAAACATTAGTAGGAATATGATAATATAAAGTTGTAACTATTGCTTAAAATTACAAAGATATTGGGGCCTGGTGGCGCAGCAGGTTAATGCACTGCAAAAGAAGCTTAAGCCACTTCCGCACGAGTTCGATCCCCACCTGCCCCGGAGGGGATCCATATGGTGTGGCAGACCTCTCCTGATCCACCCGCTGCTCCCCTCAGCAGTGTACTTCATTGATCTGCCTTTTCTGCTCCCCACGCTATCCCTGGTGAATTCTCTCACCCTCCACATCTCTGGCCTGTACCCTAGTTCTGTATGAATAAATAAATAAATCTTAAAAAAGAAATTACAAAGATATTCTAAAGCTCTTGGCTAATTCAACAAGTGGATTTTTCCTAACTGCTGGAATATACTGAATACACTTTATTGAGTTAGATGTAGAAATACTTAATTTTAATATGTGTGTTATGGCATTTTAAGATAAATGTGTTGCAAGTATAGCTACTAAAATAGAATACAGATACAGTGATTTAAATGCTATATTTCAGTCAGAGTCTTACCATGAACTAAATTGGCCTGATGCTATTTAATGGTATAAAAATAATCTCAGGGTCCTCCCTGGTGGTGCAGTGAATTAAAGTACAGCACTAAGAAGCTAAAACCACTTCAGCATGAGTTCGACCCCCAGCCCTGGAGGTGACGCACATGGCGTGGCAGACCTCTCCTGACCCGCCTACTGCTCCCCTCAGCAGTGTACTTTATCAGTCAACCTGTTCTGCTCCTCACCCTGTCTCTGGTGAAGCCTCTCACTGCCTCTGTACCTCTGTCCTGTACCCCAGCTCTGCATGTATAAATAAACCAATCTTAAAAAAATAATAATCTCAGCTGTATCTCATTGCAAAACTGGTTGGTAACATAAATCAGTTGAAGTGCTGCTAGCCTTGATGACCATAAAGGAGTATTTCCTGCCTTCCATGACATGGGGTGCCATCCATGACCAGGGCAGCAGCTGACATCAAAAGAAAAGAGAGGAAGAAAGGAGATGGGTTTATGGATAGAACTAGGGGAAGGGAAGAAGAGGAAGAAAAAGAGAATATCCACCAGAGACAGAGTGGGGAGACGGAGTGGGAAGAGAATATTCACCAGAGACAAGAGTGGGGAGATGGAGTGGGAGTAGGCACTTGGATGAAGCACACTGCTGAGGGGAGCATGGGCACAGGAGAGGTCCGCTGCGCCATGTGGGTCACATCCGGGGCCCGGGATCCAACTCACACTGAAGCAGCTGCAGCCAGCTGGCAGTGCTGTGTCCTGACCCACTGCACCCCCGGGAGGGCCAGTGCTTAAGATGCACACAGCTACACAGTAGCCACCACTCACAGGCAATGCTCCCGACTGCCCTCGGTAGCCTCACTCCATGAGTCTCATACTAGTATTTTGAAAATAAATGCTCTTTTCAGGAAATCCTGAGTTTATTTTCTTTTGTTGTGAGGTAGTTGGCACATAACATTACATGAGCTTCTGGTGTCCAACATAAAGGTCCAGTTAATATTGATTTTAAGAAATCATTACCAGTCTGGTTACATCTATCACCTTGGAGTTAACTTTTAAGCCGGCCCTCACTGGGGCATACATTTTGGGGTGCAGGTGGGGGTTATCTCTTCTACAGTGTGTTCTGCTAAGGGCAATATTTTGTTAGTTATTCATCTTTATCAAATTTCAACTCTGAGCATTCACTCTAGAAATGTCTCTGTACTATGCTTGACTTTTCGAAAGTCACTGGCCTAAATGCATTTCACAACCACAAAGGTCTTACTCTCTGATAAAGCTACAAGGAGCTTTGGAGGGCTAAAAAAAAAAAAAAAAGACATGGCTGAGGTTTTCACTTAGAGGTGCTTGAATGATTTTCATAGTTTGATTTTTTTTTTCCTGATTCTTACTGAACGCATCATACTGTTTCTGAACTTTCTGCCCTTCACTGGAGAACAAACTGCCAGTTCCAGGAACATGAAGTCCTCATCACTATCTTAATGCTCTCAACTTCATCGTGACTCTTGTTGAGACCTGGGATAATACCCAAACGGTGCTTGTTTGGACTGACAAATGAGGTTGTTGATGATCTTAGGGTTTCTGAACATTTGACATTATTTGTTTTATTGATTTATTTTATTGATTCATTTGTTTTATTGATTCCTTTTGTTTTCTGGCCACTGAGATGTTGGCGGAGAGAGGGAACATTAGGGTTTGCTACTGTGGCATTTGATATGAAGAGAAATAAAAAGGTCTTCAATACCAAGGGGGTAGGGGCCATTTCAGGCACATTTGGAAAGGATTCTTGCAGGTTTCCACCCTGTAACTCAAACTGATGGACCCCAAAACCACTGTAAATAACTCACCATTCACAGGATCAATCGCAAATTCCTTAGAAGAGGGAAGGATTCGGTAAGAGATGTTCTCATTGTTTTCTACATCTGTGGCTGTTACCCTCAGCACAAAGGACCCCCCAGGCAGCGATTCGGGAACAGTAACCTGAGGGAAAAAGAACTGGATGGGCAGAGTCCTTAAGGTGCTGGCTATTTTCACCAACAGGGCTGGAACATGGGATCGCTTTATGCATTTTGCTTATGGAAAATGCCCAGAGAATCTGATTTTTATCAGACATATCTACTTAGCAAGGTGACATAGTAAGATAATGTTAGTACCAGAACCGAGAAAAACAATTTTTTAAAGCTCTTATTCGTTTTGATTTTTTTTATTATGAAAAATTTCTCTTCTAAATTATTTGGGTGCTAGAAGATAGTTAATAGATATTACTACACTGTGTTGCAAAACCTTGATTCTCATGCGCATTGTATGACTCAGCAAGCCCTCACTGAAGGCCATTACTTGGATTTCTCCTGGGTTTACATGCAAAGCTTGCATTTTCTATAGTCAGGAGAGCTAGTGTTCAATCCCAACTATGTAGTTGAATAATAGCATTCTCCTTCGTTGTTACTTATCAACTACATTCCAACAATGAAAGTTTCATTACATTTGTTCTTCATTTCATTAGTTTGTCTATGATTCATTTCTACAAAACGTTAATAAATTCCAAAAGGATGCCGAGGAAAGAAGACATTTTCCCAAATCAAATGCCGATACTCCAAACTACCTACTGACAAAGCCTGTGGCTTTGCAAATATTAGGTAAATTCCAGTTGTTGTGAATAACTGGATCCGATCCCTAAGAACGAGAAACCAGGCAGCCTTACACATGATGACATGATACCTAAGAAGCTGACCTGAATGAGATCCTTAGCTCCGTATGTACCACTATCTCCACAACATTAAACGTAAACCCCTCAGCGTCAACATTAAGCACGACGAACAGTGAATAAGTCCACCTAAAATGAGCCCATCAACAACAGTTTGACATTACTACAGCCTCTTTCACTTGTGCTATGCTTTCAACATCTCCTTAGGGGCTTTACCTGGTAAGAATTTTGAGAAAATACGGGTGGGTTGTCATTGACATCCAACACGCGGACGATGAGTGTTCCTTCTGTGTGATACAATGAATCAGAAATACCTATGAGTAGCTCATACTCAGGAGCTTCCTCAAAATCCAGCATCTTCACCAGCACCACTACTCCAGTGCTCCAATCAATAGCGAACTTGTTTCCAGAGTCACTCTTTTTGGCAAAGCTGTAGATGAGCATTGGATTCAAATCCACATCATGAGCTGATATCCGAGTCACAACAGTACCAGGCAAGGAATCTGAAACAATCATGTCCAGCGTCATTCTCCATTACAACTGATCCAGAGAAATACTTTAATAGTTCAATCCAAGCATTTTTAAGTCCAGCGTATTGTTTCTGGGCACGCTTTCGCATACAAGGTTTGTTACAAACTGAACAAAAATGCCGAAGAATTTATGAGCCCAATAAAAACGAAAGTGTACCACTGAGTTGGGAATTGAGGAGGTAGATTCAATGTTCATGTTACATTACTCTCTATATGCCTGCAACACCGTTCCGGGATGAAGAAATATTCTAAATCACTTTTCATATATCGTTTATATAAAAATCATATATTCACAGGGGATATAGGTGGGCAGAAAGTCATTACCAAAAACATTAATGCAAAGCAGAAAACTTTAAAGAGTAGGTGACATTTAAATGAAAACATTTGGTATTGAGGTTAGAAACATACTTAGTTTCTCATATTTACTTTTATAGAAGTATTCCTTTTTTTTTTTTTGGTGTGGTATACTGGTATACTGTTTCCTTAAAATATAACTCAAAATGATGAAGATTATAAAAGACATACTATATACAAGCAACAACATCAGATCTCTAGTATTATTCACACATGCACACAAATCACAAAATACACAACATGGTAGCGCTCCCTACCCCACCCCACTCCCACTATGGGTGTCCTCACCTAAACTGCCACGGAAGGGACTTTGCTTTTAGGTGCACAGGCATGGTGCAGGTAGAAGGAAGAAGACAAAATGTTCAGGATGGTGTCACTGTAAATGAGTCTCAAGATTTTCCTCCTCCAAGCTTGAACACTCTCGATATGTACCAACCGTAACTTGTCCCAGTCACTGCAATGTGATTTACACTGTTGGCTCTTGTGCTATATTTGCATGTGATACTTTGCTGCGTTTGGATGCTAATGCATGCACTTCACAACAGTGCCTTCAGTAAAAGCAAGTGAAAATATATCAGACATATGAGAAGCAAAACTGGAGAATTTTTTATAGGTAGAATGTTTAGGCTATTTTTTTAAGTACTTCTGTCACTATATTAGTGAGGATGTCCCTCTTTGAACCGGGATGCAATTTGTTTGAGAAGTGAAAAAAAAATGAAATGTTAGAGATAGTTTAGGAACAAATTTGCTATTAAATGTGAAAGGAGATAAACTAGGAAGGGCCCAACACTACTTGAAGACTCAACCAGAAGAGCTGGGTTGAGTTTTACCTTTTCCTTACACTGATATACTGAACACATCCCTACAGGCTGCATGGCAGGCCAGGCTGGGAGGAAACACAAAAGTCCCTGATCTGAAAGAATTTACATGAGTGAGTCAGTCTCCTGGCTGCTGGTATAACTACCTGCGTTAGCAACCCAGTCAGAAACCTTAATGAATCTCATTTCTGGGAACTATTGACAGCTTTGGGATGGCAGTCTCTAGAGTCACGGCATTATCCAGAGACCCAAATCACTACGCTTAGTCAGCACATCATATACAAGTTTATATTTTCAGCCTCTACCATCAATGTGAGAACACTCCCTGCAAGAATTAGTTTATAGCAGAGAAAAAGGGCAACTTTGTGTGTCTTCCACTTATTCCTTGTCATTAGTGCAATGGACAGACTGAGAGGGTTTCTCAGCTGAGCTTTAGAGTGAATCTCCCAGTAAACAGATGCTTCTTCACAAAACGAATTTTGCACATAAGGAATGTCTGTCCACAAAGTCGCTGAGTGTAGAGCCTTCAAGCCTACGACTGGTCTTTCTGTGGCTCAGAAAGCAAGCCCCAGCTTGAACACTTAACTTTTCGGAGGTGATATTTAGCTTTTGACCATTCATTTGCTATCTTTAAAATAAAGATCAAAAACTTCCTATGTGGCATGATTGCTGATGTTAAGTAGTCATATTTAATATAATTGCTGGCTAGAAAAAAAAAGGTAAATGACATCATGCAAGATCACCAAATGACCATTCCAAATCAGCACACTTACTTTCAGCAATTTCCACTGCTTCAGAGGGGAGAAAAACTGGGGCATTGTCATTTATATCAGTCACCTCTATCTTGACTATAGTTGTGCCAGAAAGCCTGGGTGTCCCTTTATCTGTCGCTTGTACAATCAGGCTGGTTAGGAAAAGAATCAGAAAATGTTATACACCATCCAGGAATAAGGAAAAACAGCATAAATATCAAATGCCCCGCTGAAAACTTTTAAATGATCTGATGAGATACTTTTATTTTTTCCCATTATAGGAATGTCACCTGATTTCATTTATTTTTGACACATTTAGAATACCAAACCCAGCACATCACCATGGTATCTGAGGTATTTATGTCAAAACAAATATATTATTTCTGGAAGACAGATTTTAAAATTCAGTCCTTTCCTGCTAAGAACCACCTTAAAAATAAAGACATCAACACCTGTCTTTTGGATAAGTAGGTAGCCTCTACCCTGCCTCACATGGCCAGGACAGTGTGACTTATTTCCATTTTTCTGTGCTAACACAAAAGATAATATCCCTAAAAGACTGCTTTGCATTGATTTTTTTTTATTAATCCCAACTGAAAAATCAATCCAAATTGTAGCATTAAGAGAGGCCACTGTCGGGGGTGGAGTGGGGAATGGGATCAAAAACGGGAGGGGGGGGGGGGAAGTGCATGGGACTATGGTGGTGGCACAGGGGTGATTTGGTGATGGGAAACCCGCGGGGATTACAATCGAGATGGAAAAAAAAAATGTGCAAAATGATGTAAA